TGATATGTACCGTGTGTCTATTTATGAGTGTTGTGTAGTGTGCGCGTTGGTCCAGTCTTTGTCGACGCCCACAGCGAGACGATCGTTCTCGGATCAAACATCGGCATCGACAATTTCGAGTGCCGATGCTTCCATGAACGATCCCGCATGCCTCCTGCGAGTTCTGAGACATCCCCTGGCCATCTCCGAAGCACTTCGCTCTTCTGGAGCAGGAAAGGAACACTGACGTGCAACGACGGTTACGGAACACCGACACATTTAGCGATGAGGAGTGATGGTGGTGACTGTGTTAGTGGTCAGGCTTATGTTAATGCGGATGTCGTCGTTTACGTTTATGGAGATGCTGATGATGCTGGATTTGATGATTGTATCTACGACGATGATGATCGTGGGGATGCTGATCAGAAGGGATAGGAAGAGCGGTTACCCCTTTACCCCCATGACTCGGAAGGGCAGATCCAGCGGAGGGGGCATGCCTGCGATAAGAGGGGGGGCCGCGTTTTCGTTCGTTCGTTCGGAGTAGGAGAGGGGGAGGAGGAGGAGGAGGAAGAGGAGGAAGAGGAGGAGGAGGAGAAAGAGGAGGAAGAGGAGGAGGAGGAGGAGGATGAGGGATGGGGGTTGGCCACCCTTCTCCTCTCGCCTCTCTTCCCCTTTCCCGTATCCCTCTTCGTCTCTCCCTTCAGCCTTGCTGTCGTGCGCCCTCCCTCCCTCTCCTTGTCGCCCTCCCCCTTTTCTGGGCAGAGGGCGAGGGGGTGAGGCAGCGGCGGGGGGGGGAGGGGGATGATGATGATGATGATGATGATGATGATGATGATGATGATGATGATGATGATGATGATGATGATGATGATGATGATGACGATGACGATGATGATGATGATGATGATGATGATGATGATGATGATGATGATGATGATTATGATGCTGATGATGATGCTGATGCTGATGCTGATGATGATGATGCTGATGATGATGATGAGGAGGAGGAGGAGAAGGAGGAGGAGGATGAGGAAGAGGAGGAGGAGCGTGGGAGGCTAAGCAGGAGGAGGAGAATAAGGAGGGGGATGATGCTGCTGATGCTATTGATGATGCTGATGATGATGGTGTTGATGCTGATTGTGTTGATGCTGATGATGGTGATGATGATGACGATGATGCTGACGATGATGAGGATCATGATCATTAGTATGATGGTGCTGAAGGTGATGATGAGGAGGATACTGATGATGACTATGACTGTGATGGCGCTGATGATGCTGATGATGATGATGCCGCTGCTGATGCATATGATGATGGTGACGATGATGGTCATAATGATGATGCTGATGCTGATGATGATGATGATGACGATGCTGCTGATGATGATGATGACGAGGATGATGATGCTGCTGCTGACGATGATGATGGGGCTGATGATGATGGTGATGATGATGCTGATGATGATGATGCTGATAATGATGATACTGTTTTTTATTATGTTGATGCTACTGCTGCTGCTGCTGCTGATGATGATGATGATGATGTTGCTGTGGGTGATGATCATGATGCTGCTGATGATGACGATGATGATGGTGATAGTGTTGGTGTTTGTGATGCTGCTGATGACGATGATGGCGTCTACGATGCTGTTGATGGTGATGATGCAGATTGTGATAATGATGATGATGATGATGATGATGATGATGATGATGATGATGATGATGATGATGATGATGATGATGATGATGATGATGCTGATGATGATGATGATGCTGATGCTGCTGCTGATGCTGATGCTGATGCTGATGATGCTGATGCTGATGATGTGCTGCTGATGATGATGATGATGATGATGAGGATGATGATGATGATGATGATGATGATGATGATGATGATGATGATGATGATGATGATGATGCTGATGCTGCTGCTGATGATGATGATGATGAGATGATGATGATGATGAGGATGAGGATGAGGATGAGATGATGATGATGATGATGATGATGATGATGATGATGATGATGATGATGATGATGATGATGATGATGATGATGATGCTGATGATGATGATGATGATGATGATGATGATGATGATGATGATGATGATGATGATGCTGATGATGCTGATGATGATGATGATGATGATGATGATGATGATGATGATGACTGGAGGAGGAGGAGGAGGAGGAAGAAGAGGAGGAGGAGGCGTGAGGCCCTCCGCCCTCCGCCTGCCCCCGCTCATCGTGGAGCACTGTTCGCCCGCTCGGGGAGCACGGTGAGGCGTCTCCTCGCCCCTGCGCCGGCGCCACGAGCTTGGAGCGAGCAGAGGTCGGGGAGAACAGCCTCCCCAGACGTGCTCGCGTCGCGAAAAATCACGACTGGAGTTCTTTGGCCGTTTTCTGCCCTTGAGGGCCCTCGCTGGGCCCTGGGACCGTTAGAAGACTCAATGGAGGAACATGTGCCCATACCGCTACCTTTCCCTCGTTTTCCCCTTTTTGGACCTCCTGGGAGACCCTCGTCGCCACCGCTGGATTCGCCTCGAAATCCTAGTCAGAACACACCCTGGGAGAGGTCCAGGGAGTAACGGCATCGATACCTTTTGGTTTCCCCACTGAGGGCCCTCGCTGGGCCCTCGGACCGTCAAGAGATGTCGCGGGAGGAAACATCGGCCCTGGGGAAAGGGTCAGGACTTTCTGGGACTCCGCACAGAGGATATCAGGGTTTTGTATGTCTGGCTCCCTCGCCACCTCATGGGTAAACGAGGTGGACCCCGACGCTGTCGTCGTGGCAGACCGGCTGCGTGACCACCTCCGCGGGTGGTCGGGCAAGAAGGCCTTCGCGTCGTCGCCGGCGTCGTCGCCGTCAGTGTCGCCGCCGTCGTCCTCGTCGTCGTCGTCGTCGTCGTTCTCCTCCTCCTTGCCTCCTCATCTCCTCTCTTTTCTGCTCCATTGCGTCCCTCGTAGTCGTCGTCGTCTTCTTCTTCTTCTTCTTCCTCCTCCTCCTCCTTAGAGCATAGAGCTAATTGCGGTAGTGTCCTTCGGAAGCCGACATCCCTCCTCCTCCTCGTCCTCCTCGTCTTCCTCTTTCTCTTCCTCGTCCTCCTCCTCCTCCTTCTCCTCCTCCTCCTACCCTCTCTCCCCTCTCGACCTCATTCATCATTCCCCAAGCGGTGCCCGCACAGGGGTTCTTGCCTCTGCCCTACCTTCTTTGGTGATCTCCTCCCCAGGTTTTAGCGCGGTGGCCGCTCCGCCAGGGTCAGTTTCGATCCGATGTCGAGCTCGGCCAGCCCGATACGATTCGGTTCCGATGCTCCGATGATCCGATGCGGTCCCATGTTCGCATGATGCTCGCTTGTCCGTATGGGATAGCCCCCTGAGGAGCAGCGGATTTCTCGATCTTATTCTTGGTTGTTCAAATGGAGCAGGTGTTCGCATGGTGCTGTTGTGCGTCTTGGCGCGGTGGATCCGACTCGATTCCGTTTCTGTGCCGATGCGACCCGATCCGACGTGCATTCCGATGGGGCCCGATCTCCCGATTCCCAGGGCCACCGCGAGGGTGCGGAGTTAGTCGCGCTTCGCGCTTCGAGGTCTGGGCGGCTTCAGGGCGAGGCGCGAGTCCCTCATCTTGTCCTGGGTGGGGGGGGGGGTCGGCGCGAGAGCACGAAGATCATCGCGCTTCGCGCCTCGTGCAGCGCGAAGCGCGACGCACGGCGCGGCCAGTGACGGCGCCGATGCTGGTCGCGCTGGCAACGCTGACGGCGTCCTCGCGTCGGTAATGAGGGCTTCGAATGGAAATCGACATACGCGCGCGGCCGACGCGCGAGAGTGGCCCGCACGGTATTATTTGACACGGATCGTGCCCCCCCAGCACGCGCGCATGGGCGTTCGAGTGATTTTCGGCATGCGGCGCGAGAGGCCCGTTTGGCAGAATTCAATGGAATTGCTGAATCACCTATGGTTTTCTTACGGGTTCGCAAGAGCGCGAGCGCAGGCTTTTTTGAAAACTATTGTTGCGAAGCCATTTGTTTTTAAATATGGTTTTGCGACACTCGGTTTTTGAATCCTTGCGACGCCCATGGTTTTTCAAGGATTCCGGCATGCGCGCGCGACGACGCGCGCGCGCGCACTACGTCTTATTTTTTTGCAAAATATTCTGACGACAGCACGCGCGCAAAAGGCGTTCGAACGGTTTCGACATGCGCGCGCGAAGCCCGCTTGGTAGTAGGACTTTATGACGATGTTGGAGATGCTATGGTGTTCTTGAAAATTCGCCAGAGCGTGCGCGCAATTTGTTTTGAACATCCGTGTTGCGAAACCAGTTTGTTTTCCAACCATCCTGTGTTGGGCCTCGTTTTGAAGAGACAACGCCCCGCGTTCTCCTCCTCTCCTGCCCCTCCTCCCTCCTCCCATGCGTGCCTCCGCATGTCCATTTCGGCACTCTGCCCTCCGCGTGCCCATATCGGCACACCCCTCACAAGGTTCGTGGCGTCATAGGGAGCTTTACTCAAGGCCCCAGTGGCCGCGTTCACATGCGCTCACCCCGCTCACCGCATGCCCATGTCGGGACACTCCGCACACGGTTCGTGGCCCCACAGGGATTCCACCCAAGGCCCCAGTGGTCGCGTTCACATGCGTCCACCCCGCCCACCGCATGCCAAGTTCGGCACACCCCTCTCACGGTTCGTGGCCCCGTAGGAAGTTTCACCCAATGCCCCAGTGGCCGCGTTCACATGCGTCCACCCCGCCCAGCGCATGTCCATTTCGGCACACCCCTCACACGGTTCGCGCCCCCCTAAGGAGCTCCACCCAAGGCCCCAGTGGCCGCGTTCACATGCGCCCCGCCCACCGCATGCCCATTTCGGCACACCCTTCACATAGTTCGTGGCCCCATAGGGAGCTCCACGCAAGGCCCCAGTGGCCGCGTTCACATGAGTCCACCCCGCCCACCGCATGCCCATTGCGGCACACCCCCCACACGACTCGGGGCCCCATCGGGAGCTCCACTGAAGGCCCCACTGGCCGCGTTCACATGCGTCCACCCCGCCCAGTTCAGGCCCATTTCGGCACACCCCTCATTCGGTTCGTGGCCCCATAGGGAACATGGCGCCCAAGGCTCCAGTGGCAGGGTTCGCATGCGTCCACCCCGCCCACCGCATGCCCATGTCGGCACACCCGTCACACGGTTCGTGGCCCCATAGGGAGTTCCACCCACGGCCTCTCGCGTCTAGGTGTCCCAGAGGCTCCCGCATGAGCTTCCCTCGCCCCGAGACGAGGCCCCTGCCTCCTCCATAGTTCGGGCGAAGGATGCGACACGCTTTTTTTGTTCCCAACCATCTTGTGTTGGGTCCTCGTTTTGAAGAGACAGCGCCCCGCGTGTCCTCTCCTCCTTCCTCCTTCCTCCTCCCCCCTGCGTGCCTCTGACCACCGCATGCCCATATCGGCACACCCCTCACACGGTTCGTGGCCCCATTGGAAGTTCTATCGACGGCCCAAGTTGCTGCGTTCGCATGACACCACTGCACCCATTTCGGCACACCCTCACAAGTTTCGTGGCCCCACAGGGAGCTCAACCGAAGGCCCAAGTGGCTGCGTTCGCATGGCACCACCGCATCTTTTTCGGCACACCCCTCACACGGTTCGTGGCCCCATGATGACCTACACCGAAGGCCCAAGTGGCTGCGTTCGCATGGCGCCACCGCACTCATTTCGGCATATTCGTCACACGGTGCGTGGCCACATCGGGAGCCCCACTGAAGACCCAAGGGGTTTCGTTCGCATGGCACCACCGCACCCGTTTCGGCACGCCCCTCACACGTCTCGTGGCCCCATAGAGAGCCCCACCGAAGGCCCAAGTGGCTGCGTTCGCATGGCACCACACGCACCCGTTTCGGCACGCCCCTCACACTTTTTGTGGTCCCATAGGGAGCCCCACCGAAGGCCCAAGTGGCTGCGTTCGCATGGCACCACCGCGTGCCCATTTCGGCTGTCCCTCGCACGTTTCGTGGTCCCATAGGGAGCCCCACCGAAGGCCCAAGTGGCTGCGTTCGCATAGCACCACCGCGTGCCCATTTCGGCACGCCCCTCACACGGTTAGTGGTTCCCTGGGGCACCCCACCGAAGGCCCAAGTGGCTGACTTCGCATGGCATCACTGCATCTTTTTCGGCACACCCCTCGCACGTTTTGTGGCACCATATGGAGCCCCACCGACGGCCCAAGTGGCAGGGTTTGCATGGCGCCACCGCGCCCATTTCGGCACACCGCTCACGCGGGTCGTGGCCCCACAAGGGGGCTCCACCGAAGGAGGGCTCACAACCGCGGTATTCACAATTGCATATGGTTGGGTCCTTCGCCAGTTCTTGTTGTATATTTACATTTGTGGGTATTTATCTATGTATGTATGCATGCATGCATGCATGCATGTATATATGTATGCATGTACGTATGCCTGCCTGTCTGTCTGCCTGCCTGTCTGTCTGTCTGTATGTATGTATGCATGTCTGTATATATCTATGTATGCATGCATGCACGCATGCATGCATGCATGTATGTATGTATGCAGGTGTGTATATCTGTATGTTTGTTGGTCTGTATGTATGTATGCATGCATGCATGTATGTATACATGTGCATATGTATGCAGGTGTGTACGTATGTAATTATAGATGCACACATGTATGTAGGTATGCATGCATGTATGTATGTATGTTTATGTGTATGTATATGTATATGTATATGTATACGTATGTGTATGTGTATATGTATATGCATATGTATATGTATATGTACATGTATGAATATATATGTATATGTACATGTACACGTATATGTATGTATATATATATATGTATATATATATATATGTATATGTATATGTATATGTAGATGTATATGTACATGTATATGCATATGCATACGTACATGCATAAGTATATGTATACGTATACGTATCTGTATTTGTATATGTATATGTATATGTATATGTATATGTATATTATATGTATATATGTGTGTATATGCATATATGTATGTTTATGTTTATGTTTATGATTATGTACATGTACATGTACATGCATGTGTACATATACATGTATATGTATCTCTACATGTATATGTATAGGTTTATGTATATGTATATGTATATGTATATGTATATGTATGTATGTGTATATGCTTATGTTAATATACATGTATATATATATGTTTATGAGTATGCATATGCACAGTTATACGTATATGCATATGTATATGTATATGTATATGTATAGGCATATATATATATATGTATATACATATATATATCATGTATGTATGTATGCATGTATGCATGCATGCATGTATGTATGTATGTATGTATGTATGTATGTATGTATATATGTATGTATGTACGTACGTATGTATGTATATATGTATGTATGTATGTATGTATGTATGTATGTATGTATGTGTCTGCGTGTATGTGTGCATGTGTGTATGTGTGTATGTATGTGTATGTATATATATTTATATATATACATGGACACTCGATGTCGAAATCCTTACGACACCTAGGGTGTTTGAAGGATTTCGGCATGCGCGCGCGACGACGCGCGCGTGTGCACTTCGCTCCTTTTGTTACAATGGTTTCGTGAAAACTGATGAGTTTTGATGGACGAGTGTGCGCGCGTATTTTTTGGCAGAGGATGACGGGGGGGTGTCGATATTGGTAATAACCCTGGGGGTGGAGAACAGATAATCCATGTTGCCCAATTTATGCGGTGCAATTGCGCGAGGCCGCGACGAGGAGGCGACGGGGCGGCGACACGACGGCGTCAACATAGCCGCCATACCCATAATCAGGCCCAGACGACGGGCGGCGATGGGGCGGCGACGGGGCGGCGACGGCGACAACATAGCCGCCAGACCGACAATCAGGCCCAGTTCGTTGGCAAAGTTGCATGACTGAACAACTTCTGGAGCTCCGTGCGGATTTCTTGGGTCGGCGCTGGACCCCCCTCCCTAGCGCGCGGAACGCGCCAGGGGCGGCGCCGCCGAAGGCGCCGCCAGGGGGGCCCAGCTTCGGTCCAAGACATCTGCGCGGAGCTTCGGTTCATCTTTTTTCCGTGTTTGATTCCTCAAGAACTCGGCGGCGAGGGAGGGGGGGAATTGACAAGGAGAAGGACTTCTCAGAAGGCGGCGGGACTTCTCAGAAGCACTCGTGCCTTCTGAGAAGGCCTATCTGGTTTTTTGTATGACATCCCTCGGGGGAGGCTCACCCAGCACATGTTTCCCAGAAGCCTGGAGGACCTCCGAACCTTCTCTGAGAAGGCCTCCTCCTTCTCACTTCCCCCCCCCTCCTCCTCCTCCTCCTCCTCCTCCTCCTCCTCCTCCTCCCTCCTCCTCCTCCTCCTCCTCCTCCCCCTCCTCCTCTTCCTCCTCCACCCCCCGCCCTCGGCCCGAAGTGCCCTCAGGGCTCGTCGCCGCAGAAAGAGTGCCCGTCCCCCCTCTCTGCCCTGTCGCCCCTCGGGCCCCGCTCGCACAGGGGCGCCTCCGGCCTCGGCCATCGCGGCCTCGCGGCGAGGCGTTCGTCAGGAACTGCAACAAGAAGCCGCTGGAGAAGGAGTTCCCGATGATGTTCGGCTCGCTCGAGGCGATCTCGAGCGCAGCGCTGGCGGTGTACAAAGACGAGGCCGGGAGGGGAGAGAGAGGGGCAGGGGGGAGGGGGGGAGAGAGAGCGGGGCTGGAGACCGGGAGGCGGAGGGGGGAAGCAGAGGAGGAGGAGGAGGAGGAGGAGGAGGAGGAGGCGTTCGAGGACGAGGATGAGGACGAACATGATGATAATGATGATGATGATGCTGATGAGGATGATGATGATGATGGTGGTGGTGTTGGTGCTGATGATGATGATGATGATGATGGTGGTGGTGGTGGTGGTAGAGGTGGAGGTGGTGATAGGTGCTGCTGTCGCTGCTGCTGCTGATAATGATAATGCTAATGATGATAATGATGCTGATTATGATGATGATGCTGATAATGATGATGCTGATGCTGCTGCTGATGCTGATGCTGATGATGCTGATGCTGATGATGGTTCATGGTTATGATGATGATGCGGATGCTGATGCTGATGCTGATGCTGATGATGATTTTGATGATGATGGTGCTGATGGTGACGATGATGATGTTAATGCTGATGATAATGATGATGCTGATGCTAATGCTGCTGCTGATGATGATGATGCTGATGCTGATGATGATGATGCTGATGATGATGATGATGATGATGATGATGAGAATGATGAGGATGAGGATGAGGATGAGGATGAGGATGATGATGATGATGATGATGATGATGATGATGATGATGATGATGATGATGATGATGATGCTGATGCTGATGATGATGATGATGATGATGATGATGATGATGATGATGATGATGCTGATGATGATGATGACAGTGATGGACGGTGGAGGTGGTGATGATGATGGCAGAAGGAGGAGGGGTAGGCCAATGGTATCAGGAGGGTGTTGGCGAGAACGATAACGATGATGATGGGGAGGATGATGTTTCGGATGATGACGAGGACGAGGCGGGGGAATAGGGCACGGACGAAGAGGGCAATGGGGGCGGGGACGTGGAGCAGGAAGAGGAGATGGGGAGGCGGACGAGCAGGCGCGGGGCGAGGACGAGGCGATCGACGGACAGGACGCGGCGACCGACTGTGCTTTATAGGTCGCCCGCGGGGGCGCGAAGACGATCGCGCTTCGCGCGTCGCAGTTCGGGCTGGCGAGCGACCTTGTGTAAGGGGGGGCGGCGGGAGAGCCGCAGTGGGCGCGGAGCCGACCGCGCGGCGCTCATCGCGGGAGCGCGGTGCGCTGCTCTCGGCGCCGAAAGCCGAGCCCCAGCGATCCAGCTTGCGCTCGTAATGCAGCCCAGCGTGTGTGTGTGTGTGTGTGTGTGTGTGTGTGTGTGTGTGTGTGTGTGTGTGTGTGTGTCTGAGTGTGTGTGTGGGTGTGTGTATGTGTGTGTGTGTGTGCGCGCGCGCGCGTGTGTGTGTGTGTGTGTGTGCGTGTGTGTGAAAGTGTGTGTATGTATGCATGCATGTATGAATGACTGTATGCAGGTACGCATGCGCGTATGTATGTACGCATGCATGCATGCATGCACGCATGTATGTACGTATGCGTGCGTGCGTGCATGCGTGCGTGCGTGCATGCAGGCATGCACGTACGTACGTACGTATATCTGCACGCATGCATGCATGTATGTATGGACGCATGCATGTACTTATCGATGTATGTATGCATGCACGCACGTATGCACGCCAGTATGCATGTATGTATGCATATATGTATTTGTATGCATGCACGCACGCACACACGCGTGTATGTATGTATGTATGTATGTATGTATGCATGCATGCATGCATGCATGCATGCATGCATGTATGCATGTATGCATGTATGCATGTATGTATGTATGTATGTATGTATGCATGCATGTATGTATGTATGTATGTTTGTGTGTATGTACGTATGCATGCATCCACGCAAATGTGCATGCACGTATGTATGCATACATGCATGTATGTATACATGCATGTTGATATGCACGCATGCATGCATGGATGTATGCACCCATGCATGTATGCACGTATGTACGTGAACCTGTATGCATATCTGTATGTATGTGTATACATATGCATATGCATGTATGCATGTATGTATGTATGTATGTATGCATGTATGTATGGATGTATGTATGTATGTATGTATGTATGCATGTACAAATGTATGAATGTATGCATACATGATTGTATATATGCATATACAGATACGCATACATGTATGTATATATCTATGTATGTATGTCTGTATGCATGCATGAATGCATGTATATAGGTAGATCGATATATAGGTATGTATGTATGTATGTATGTATGCATGCATGCATGTATGTATGTATGTATGTATGTATGTATGTATGTATGTATGCATGCATGCATGCATGCATGCATGTATGCATGTACGTATGTATGTATGTATGTATCTATCTATCTATGTATGTATGTATGTATGTATGTATGTATGTATGTATGTATGTATGTATGTGTGGATGCACGCAGGTACGTATTGATGTATGCATGCATGTAGGTATGTATGCATGCATGCGCCTCGCCGAGAGCCTTCAGGGGCTGCCCCGATCGCCCCGAACCGGCCGCCATAGCCGAGCCGTGACCCGCAACCCGGGGGCCAAGCTGTGGGGGAAGAGTGGCCCGGGGTGGGAGGCGTCGACTGCCAACCGCCCAGTCATCGCCGATGGGGGCCCGACAAGCCACCCCGCCCCAGGAGTGTGCGGGCTCGCCATCGGGAGCCCCTCGCTGGTGCATCGCCAGTTCCAGCTCGACGGTCCCCCCGGGAGCTGGTCCCCGCCCATCGTTCCTTGGTGGTCCCCAAACGTGGTGGTGAGAACACCCGGTGGTGAGTTTTGGGCGATTTGGGTAATGGTTTTCGAGCGCTGGCTGGCCCAGGAAACGCAAAACCTCGTGGCGACCGCGTGTCCCCAAACCCGGTGGTGACCCAGAATTTTTTTCTGGGGAATCGGGGTCACCACCGGGTGTCTCACCACCTGGTTTGGAGATCACCAAGTTCCCCCCGAGCAGAGCGGGAGTCTGGCGCGGTGGCGGTACCTTTCGAAGCTGTTTCGTAGGGCATCCCCCGCACCCGCACTCCACAGAGCAGCACATCTTGTACTTCCCAGGTGGTGGTAGTGGTGCGTTTCCCTTCTCCTCGGAGTCCTTGGTCCCGGTCCCGAGGCGGAGCGCTGCAAGAACGAGCTGGAGTGGCGTCCCTGGGGCGAGGACTTCTTCCTCGGGAAGTGCCTCCCCCATTTGGGCATCGACCCTGTCGACGACTTCACTATCATCAGCGACGGCGTCTGCACCGATGTCAACTGCTACGACAGTTGGTCCTTGGTAGTGTAGGCTGCACAGTGCCTTGATTTCTCCTTCCTCCTTCCTCCTCCTCCTCCTCCTCCTCCTCCTCCTCCTCCTCCTCCTCCCCAGACATCTGGTCGCTCCAATTTCTGTCGATGCGCGGGTCCTGCAGGTCTGGACCGCTCCCCCAGGGCTCGTTTCTCGTCCCGGGCCGTTCTGCTGCTGGCCCCCGGTGCCCGGCGAGTGAGGCCGAGGGCGGCCGACCGAAAAACCCGCCGCTCCGAGCTCTGCTGGAGCGTCGGATCTCTCCGGGCCGCTGCCGGCCCAGGTCGGCCGCGTTCCACCCGTTCAAGAGCGCCCAGGACCCTTCCGGGGGGCCGGCCGGGCCCTCGGCTGGCGGCGGCCTTCTGGCCAGGCGGGGCCGCCTGCAGTCCGATGCGAGTCGATACCGATCCGAGTCTTGACGATTCGCCTGCGATTCGATCCGCGCTCGATCCGAGCCGACTTCGCGAGGAGGAGGTTGGCGTAGGGAGGAGGAGGAGAGGGTGGAGGGGGGAGGGAGGGAGGGAGGGAGGGGAGGAGGGAGGGAGGAGGGAGGGAGGGAGGGGGGAGGGAGGGAGGGAGGGAGGGAGGGAGAGAGGGAGGAGGAGGGAGGGGAGGGAGGGAGGAGGAGGGAGGAGGAGGAGGGAGGAGGAGGGCGTAGGAGGGAGGAGGAGGAGGAGGAGGAGGAGGAGGGAGGAGGAGGAGGAGGAGGAGGAGGAGGAGGAGGAGGAGGAGGAGGAGGAGGAGGAGGAGGAGGAGGAGGCATCTCATCCCTCGGTCCAGCCCCGTGGCCCCCCCGCTTCACCCTCGCCGCGTCGGCTAGGTCCAGGGGAACCATGAGGTTCTGGTCGGGAAAGGAGAGAGATTAGCTGGGAGGTCTTGGAGTAGCGGAGTGTGATTGATCAGGGTGGATCATTGGTCTTGCTTCGTCTGGCGTGTACCGTGGTGGATCGTGGATTTCAGTGGTTCCACTTGTGGCCACGGTCACAGGAGCGGAAACCAGAAATACAAGAGGAGGAGAAGGATGAGGAGGCGGAGGAGGAGAAGGATGAGGAGGAGGAGGAGGAGGAGGAGGAGGAGGAGGAGGAGGAGGAGGAGGAAGAAGAAGAAGAAGAGGAGAGGAGGGAGGGACGTCGGAGTTTGCGTGGGTGGGCTGCCCCAGGACTGGGTGACGTGCTGGGAGGCGGCCACGGCGGGCGGCAGCCCGGGCCCGCTGCTGCCCCCGCGGCCCTGAGGGGCCAGGAGGCCCGTTGCGGCAGGACGGGCGCGGGCGCGTGGGCCGTGGGGTCGGCGTCGCCCCAACACACGAGTACACTGTGTGTGGAGTACAGTGGGGCCCATGCCAAGAAGCACTCTGCTTGCCTCCAGGGTGCTCTGGGTTTCTTGGGTTTCGATGGTTTTGCTATGGAAAGCGTGACGCTCCCACACCAAGCATCAATGGACGCCCTGGGGTCTCAGGGTTGGGTTTCTCGTGGAATTGTTCGTGTGGTCGGGCCCCTACTGTAGGGGATCGACTACCCCAAAACGGCCCAAGACGGCCCAAGAGGCCACCAGGATCGCCCCAGGACGCCCAAGAGGCCTCTCCAAGGATTATGGTGATGCCGACGGTGGTTATGACGATGATGCTGTTGATGATGATGATGATGATGATGATGATGATGATGATGATGATGATGATGATGATGATGATGATGGTGATGAGGATGCTGATGATGATGACGACGATGATGATGGTGATGCTGATGATGGCGGTAGTTATGGCGATGGTTATGTTGGTGGTAATGGTGAATAACTTGATGATGATGTTGCTAAACATGATGATGGCGATGATGATGATGACGATGCTGATGGTGGTGATGATGATGGTGATGAGGATCATGATGCTGATGATGCTGATAATGCTGATGCTGATGATGATGATGCTGCTGATGATGATGACGACGATAACGATGATGATGATGCTGCTGCTGCTGATGATGATGATGATGATGATGACGATGCTGATGATAATGATGATGCTGATGCTGATGATGTTGATGATGATGATGATGGTGATGATGGTGATGATGATGATGGTAATGATGATGCTGATGCTGATGCTGATGCTGATGATGATGCTGATGCTGATGCTGATGATGATGATGATGATGATGATGATGATGATGATGATGATGATGATGATGATGATGATGATGATGATGCTCATGGCGATGACGATGATGATGCCGATGACGATGACGATATCGATGACGCTGACGGTGACGATGAATACGTAGATAGAGGATGAGGATGGCGAGGATCACGAGGAGGAGGAGGGACCCAAGACGGCCCCAAAAGGGGCCCAAGGGAGGGAACACGAACCGAACATCTGAGCCTTCTGCCCCAAGAGGCCCCCATGAGGCCCCCAGAGGCACCCCCAAGAGGCCCTCAAGAGGCCCAAAAGAGGCCCCAAGAGGCCCCAAACTGGATTCCAAGAGGCCTCAAAACTGCCCCCGAGAGGCCCCCGAGAGGCCTCCCACGAGATCCCGACGAGCATCCTGTAGGCTTCATTCCCGCAACCCAGTCACGGTGGCGGGATGGGCCGAAAGCTATTCGTTCCTCCGCCCCCTGTTGGCTTGCCACAGGGGGGCCTGGCGTGCTAGAGCCTGTACGGCTTGGTATTGGTTCTCCTTCCAAAAGAACCCCTTATAGGCCCCCCTCTCAAAACGCACCCCCAAGAACGACAGAGCGCATTTCCCAGAACGCCAGGTCAGGTTGACCGCAATGCTAGTCACAAAAACAAGCACCCTCACCAAGACGCCGCATATCACTATCATTCCAGCTACCCTGCCCAATATGACACAGCCCCACTCAGCCATGCGCAAGGCCTCTGCTTCTCCTTGCCGTTCTGCTGTGTTGCTGTCCTGCCATATTCAGCGTTGCTGCATCATGTTTCTGCTGCGTGCCTCCTAGCATCATCGGCTTTGGCCTGGGGTGCTCACAGGCCCCTGGACCAGCGACGACAAAGTTGCCCCTGCATGTAGTTCCTCTCCTTCCCCTTCCCTCCCCCGTCCCCCCTCCTGCGCCCTCCGCCCCCTATCCTTCTCATCCTCCTCCTCATCTTCCTCCTCCTCCTCCTCGTCCTTCTCCTCCTCCTCCTCCTCCTCCTCCTCCTCCTCCTCCTCCTCCTCCTCTCCCTCCTCCCACTCCTCTCCTCCTCCCCACTCCTCCTCCTCCTCCTCCTCCCACTCCTCCTCCTCCTCCTCCTCCTCCTCCTCCTCCTCCTCCGCGTCCTCCTCCTCCTCCTCCTCCTCCTCTTCCTCACCCTAGGTAGGCTCGAAGAGGAGTCCATGCCGAGGCCATGACAGGCCTGGTGTAGCCGAGGTACCCCCGCCACCCGGGCTGTGTCCGTGGATGCCCTTTGCGTGTGGTGTGTAGCATCCCCCATTTTTGCTGCACGCAGCGCAGTGTGCCGAGTCTCTCCTCCTTCCTCGCGCTTTCCCTCGCTCGTCTCCCCGTCTGGCCGTCGACGCTGTGCCCCCCCGGGAAAAGACCAAGGCCGGAGGCCATCTGTGCAGCGCAGCGTGCCGAACCTCTCCTCCTCCCTCGCACCTTCCCTCGCGTGCCTCCCCGTCTGACCGTCGGTGCTGCGCCCCTCAGGAGAAGAGCAAGGCCGGGGGCCCTCACGGCGCCCATCGAGCCCGCCGTGGCGCGCGTGCGCGCTCGTGGTGCCCATCGTGCCCCGCTCGCGTGGCGCGAGGCCGCCCGCTGGAGAGACGGCCACGCCGCGCAGAGCGGCCCGCTGCGGGCAGCAGGCGCCCTGACACATGCGGAGGCCTCCGCATGTCACCACTGTGCTTGATCCGGAAGGGGGTCCAGCTGAAATGGGGTGGTTCGATAGATTTGGTGCAACAGATTTGCGGGGTTGCAATCTATCTGGGACGTGCAATATCTTCTGGTGCGCAAGTGCATTTCTGGGCTTTCGCGCGCAGCACGCTAGACGCAACACAATGCAGTCCATGCCTCCGTCGCAACGCATTCGCAAAACAACTGCCCCAAACCTATTGCACCACTCCCTCTAAGCTGGACTCCCTTTTGTGCCAACCGAACCCGCCCACCAAACCATCGACTAGACGTAAGAGTGACCTTTCGCCGGAGTGGCCTTTGGTGCGGGCACAGATGGGTCCACATGTGGCTGAAAACGAAGCAGTAGCAGCTGCTTGCGCGCCCAGGTTTGGTCCCCCCGCGGCCCCCCAAAAGTCGCGCACCAAAGGTCACTCTTACCCAGGGCCACTCTTGCGTATAGCCGAAACCACCCCAACCCAACTTGGAGGCCCCAGTCAGCCCTCCACTCCCAGCGGGGGGGGGGGCGTCGGGAAACATGGGCAACAAAATCACGTGGGGAGCCCGTACTCCCTCCTTCCCCCCCCCCGCCAAAACCTAATTTTAAGTCGGGCCTGTCCCCCTACAGGGGGATTTTCGACGAAAAAACAAAAATACCCCCAACATAGTTAAAAAGATAGTCCAAACATAGTCTGGGGACTACTTTTGTGGTATTTTTTGACCCTTGTGGGGTATTGTTGGAGTATTTTTTAATTTTTCGTCGAAGATCCCCCTGTAGGGGGACACGCCCGATATAAATCTTCGGGCTGGGTTGGGATGGTCTGGTGGGTAGTCCGCATGGCACAGGCGTAAGTCGAAGGAGGCACGCGCGAATCTCTTCGGCCCTCCCTGGTGGTCGACGCCGTCGTCGGCTCGCACCGCGCGCCTGGGGTGGGGGGGGGGTCCAGCGCGGGCCCGAGACGCCCGCGCGGACTTTCGAAAGTCCGTGCTTCTGCATGCTGTTCGGCGGACCCGAGAACGTCGGGAACCGCCGGCCTCTTCGACCTCCAGCCCCTCCCCGCTCCCCTCGCTCTCTGCTTCTCCCGCTCCCCTCGCGGCTTGGCATCTCACCCCACCCTAGGAGGAGGAGGAGGAGGAGGAGGAGGAGGAGGAGGAGGAGGAGGAGGAGGAGGAGGAGGAGGAGGAGGAGGAGGAGGAGGAGGAGGAGGAGGAGGAGGAGGAGGAGGAGGAGGAGGAGGAGGAGGAGGAGGACGCGCTCCTCACTCGGGGGACGGAGCGCGGGATACCAATCAGCTTCTCCGCCGCCGGGGGCGTGCCTGCTCCCCCGGGGGCGGCTGGACAGGTGCACTCCCACGGTGCCAGCGGCCAGGGGGACAGAGGCGTCCCCGACGGCGGCCGAGGAGGGGAACCGGCACACGGACGCAGTGAAGTGTCGACTTCCAAGAAAACATGTGAAACCATGGGAAGCTGGGGGGAGGACGAAGACAGAGAAAAGACAGGAGCATGTGGGGCATCCTGGGATGTGTGTCTGTTTATTTGTGTGTCCCAGGGCCCCTTTGTTTCTGCTGTCGTTCGCCCGCCAACTCACTCGATTCTCAGGGCCATCTTGGGCCGTGTGGTGGGAATCTGTAGAGGCCTCCGAGGCTCACTGGGGGCCGTCGTGGCGAGAAGGTGAGCGTCGGCGACCGCTGCGCTCGGCTTGATGTTGCCCCCCGGGCCTCTCGGGAGCCTCCTCGGGAG